GAAGCGCTTAACCAACATATATGACCTGTACCGGGCGTCGGAACCAAAATACGAGCCCGATACCATTACTTTCTGATCAAATTTCATTTTCATTTTCCTTAAACATTTTCAGAAAACAATTTCACGAAAAAATTCATTTCTCGGGCCTGGGACCTCGGAATTCGATTCCGGAAACACGTTCAACTCCCATATTTTTCTATGGACCTTTCAAGACCGAAAAATAACGGGTCCGGGTCCATTTACCAAAAATGTTGACCAAAGTCAACTTTAACAACATTAAATATCAAAATTCTTCGAATTTTTCACATAATTCATATATTTCAACACAAAAATATTCCGGACACACTCCTAAGTCCCAAATAACCTAACGAAGCTATCCAAACCATAAAATTCGCATTTCGAATCCGATATCAAAATTTCCACTTCCGGCCAAATTTTCTCAAAAACCTTCAATTTTCCCTCTTTAGCCGAACGGCTCCAAAATGACCTACGGACCTCCGAATTCACTTCCGATCGCGCTCCCAAATCCAGAATCACCATACGGAGCTACTCCCAGTCTCGGAATCCCAAACGGACATCAATAACACTGAAATGCATTTTAAACCAAACTGATGCAATTTCTTCTAAAATGCTATCTTCCACAATAGGCGCCAAAACGCTCCCGGGTTATCCAAAACCCGATCTGGGCATACGCCCAAGTCTGAAATCATCATACGAACGTGCTGGAACCTTCGGATCCCAATTCCGAGGTCGTTTACTCAAAATTCCAATCCTAGTTCATTTCNACGAATTCACTTCCGATCGTGCTCCCAAATCCAGAATCACCATACGGTTTCCGCGATAAAAGAGCTCTGTTTCCAAACAGATTTGTCCATCAGTAATGGGGATCACATTGGTGGGAATATAGGCCGATACGTCTCCAGCCTGTGTTTCAATGACGGGTAAGGCGGTCAAGCTACCTGCGCCTGTCTGGTCCGATCGTTTAGCCGCTCTTTCTAAGAGACGGGAATGTAAATAGAAAACATCCCCTGGGAAAGCCTCACGACCTGGTGGTCGGCGTAACAATAATGACATTTGTCGATATGCTACCGCCTGTTTACTAAGATCATCATAGATTATTAATGCGTGCATTCCATTATCGCGGAAATATTCCCCCATGGCACACCCAGAATATGGGGCCAAAAATTGTAGAGGAGCANCTGAATTTTAATTCTGGCCATACACACAAGTCAATATACCTGAGATGAAGCCGCTCATGGCCTCAAACTGCTGAATGACGCGCCGGAGCTCAAAACGACCGGTCGGGTCGTTACAGATGTATTTATATCAGAATTCCTTGTTCAGCTGTAGGGTGAAATGTTAGACAACATTTTTCATTCAAAATTAAGTACATTTCAGAGGTATTCAGAGTGGTGTTTTCTTTACCGGGATCTCTTTCTGCCTTTACCCCCAATTTAGAACATAGGAAAAAAAGTTGAAATGTTCTCTTCTGGTAGTTTGGTTGAGCAAATTACTAGTCAATCATAAAGATACTCAAAGTTAGCAATGCAGATGTAGAGTTTAGGTTAGCTACACTGGAACAAGCTGCTATACTGTCTAGCTTTGTTTTCATGGATTATCAGTTGAATAACTGGATTGGAGTACTTGTAAAATTATTTTGCTTAAGAGGGTTGTGCTTTTCTTAACTTGAGTTTTACGAATAGTGTATGTGAAATATCTACCTTTTTAATAGTACAGCAGTAGAAGCCATTTATAATTCCTTTCATTGTGCAGCCACTGCACTATTTGCTATCAAATCTAGCTGGAATAACTTGCCACCAAATTGGGAGGGGTCAGATCCTTGCGGTAGCAGCTGGGAAGGAATTATCTGTAATGATTCGCGTGTAACCTCGATGTATATCCTTGATATTTGCAATTTCTGATTGTTTTGTAGTTCGTCTATCTTCCCTTCCTTATAGTTATCTTTAACTTTCCATCCACAGAAAGTTATCAGGCATGGGCTTGGAAGGCAATCAGTTTGGAGATCTTTCATCATTAACTGCATTGCAGATATTGTACGTCTTTTATTTCTATATTTCTATCTTGATTCTTCAGATATCGACAATAAGATTCCGAAATCATCTTTAGTTCATCTATAATTCTTTCTCCAACTGTCATCTGAAGCACAACTGTAGTTTCAAGTAAAATTCATCAAGAATCCGCAGATAGTGCTAAAAAACAAACGAGTGCAATATCCATGTTTTTATCTTGGCTAATTATATAATTCTGGCCTCATCCCTTCCTCATCGCAAACTGATTTTTGTAAGTATTTTTAAGGAGTATACACATCATATGAAAGATAAATCTTTTTTTTTTCACAACTAAAAGGAATAAGTTCTGCCATTTGGATTAGAGGATATCCACTGCTTGAACATACTCTTTAATTAGTTTTAATCCTCCTCTTACCCCAAATTAACCTATTCAAACGGATATCATTTTGCTTTGTTCTTATTGTAACTAATTTGGTGTAGGGACCTCTCGAATAATGTTGGACTGAAAGGAACTCTTCCATCATCAATTGGAAATTTGAAGAATTTGACAACTTTGTAAGAGAATTTAAATGGCGACTCAAGTATATCCTACACAACTTGTAGTATCAATCCTGACTTCAGAAGCTGGTCCTTTTATGCAGAATCTTAGTTGGTTGCAGCTTCTTTGGTCAAATTCCAGAATCAATTGGTTCTCTGCAGCAGCTGGTCTTTATGTAAGGATTTACATTTCCAGTTTATCCATTTGTTCACCTGAAGTTTTAATCATTAATATCTTCCTCTTTACTAACCAGAGTTCAATTGTGTTTCTTCAGCTATGGCAACTGAGTTATTATTCATGCATTAAGTACAACTTTGGTTAACAAATTTCTTTTGCTTTTCCTATCAATGTTGGCATACTTTTGTCCCAATCGAATTAGGTTCAGTTCATGGGAAGGGTGAATTGAACCTTATTAAGATTGGCTTTGCTTCAAAAACAAAAGTTTGCCTATGGAGGGTCGGTTATAAAGCAGAGATTTAAAATTTAACATTGTAAGACGTCCTGCCTAGATTATAGTTTGAATGTGCCGGAGGGGGATTCAGTAAATTCAAGTGACAAACATAAGCAGATTACAAAGAGGGAGGAGTCTTTTTTTTTTTTGATGAAGTAATAATAGATTTCATTGCTGGCATCAAGAAGATGCATAATAATACAAAAGTTACTGTTAACTCAATTACAAAAAGACTATTCTAGTACCAGGGAGCTAACGAAGTTCAAAAAGTTGTCAGGAGAATCTAAGGGGGAAAGGTAATGCCAACTATAAAGATACAAAAGACATCTAGCCTTGAGGGAATGATTTGGAGTTGATAAACCTTCAAAACATCTGTTGTTCCTTTCTGACCATATACACCAAAAAATACTCGCAGGAATCATCTTCCAGATTGGCCTGATGGCCTTACCAACTCTCCAGTTACACCAGCACTCAAAGGCCTCTTTAGTGNCGAAGTTCAAAAAGTTGTCAGGAGAATCTAAGGGGGAAAGGTAATGCCAACTATAAAGATACAAAAGACATCTAGCCTTGAGGGAATGATTTGGAGTTGATAAACCTTCAAAACATCTGTTGTTCCTTTCTGACCATATACACCAAAAAATACTCGTAGGAATCATCTTCCAGATTGGCCTGATGGCCGTACCAACTCTCTAGTTACACCAGCACTCAAAGGCCTCTTTAATGTTATGCGGCATTACCCAGTTAATACCAAAAATACACAAAAACATATTCCATAAGTCAGCAGCAACTGTACAATGTAAAAATAGATGGTGTTAGATTCAAGTCTCTGTTGGCACATGTAACGTCTATTGACTATCTGGAAGCCTCTTTTCTTAAGATTGTCTTGTGTGAGGCATGCTCCATAGAGGGCTGTCCAGCTGAAACATTTGATCTTTGTTGGGAGATTAGTCTTCCATATCAACTTCCATGGCCAGTCATCAATCATGTCATTAGGAACATATGAGTTTGCATAGCCTGCTTTCACTGAGTATTTACCATCAGCACTGCTCCACTTTAACTTATCTGCTGCCTGGGCATTCATCATGTGGCTTTCTATTCTGGAAAGCAGGTCTGTCACTTCTTCAATTTCCCAGTCTTGTAGGTTCCTTCTGAAAAGCATGTCCCAAGTGTTGTTTGCCCAATTCTGAGAGACAGAGGAGTTTGGCTCACATGCTAATAGAAAGAGGCTTGGGAATTCCTCCATCAGAATGGTATTATTCAGCCACTTATCCTTCCAAAACCTGATATGCATACCATTGCCTGCCACCAGTTGGGTATTCTGGACGAATTCATCTTTAAGTTTGCATATACTTAGGCCAGCACCATGTGGGGATCTAGACAGCTTGGAGCACCAATGATTTTGTACCCCATGTTTTTCCTTGATTACTTCCTTCCAGAGAGGTTAGTCCTCTTGTGTGTATCTCCATAACCATCTCATGAGTAAGCATTTGTTGTGTAGAGACAAATCCTTTATGCCCAGCCCTCCCAAGTGCCCAGGTTAAACTTGTGATTACCCTCCCATAGGAAGTTTCTCCTGATCCTATCCAGCTGTTTCAGAATCTTATTGGGAATAGGAAATAGTTTCATGTAGTAAGTTGGAATGCTGTCTAGTACACTGTTAATCAATGTTAATATTCCACCAATTGACAAATATTGCATCTTCCATGATGCCAACCTTTTCTCAAACTTCTCAATCACCCCATCCCAAGTAGATGTTGATCTAAATGTGGAACCCAGGGGTAATCCAAGGTATGTGATTGGGAATGAGCCAGTCGAACAACCAAGAATACAACCAAGAATTCCTGCCAGTTCTTCTATGCCTGAGACCTCATTGACAGGGTATATCACACTTTTTAGCATGTTGATATGAAGCCCTGACAATGCTTCAAAGATGAGCAAGGTTAGGTTCAGGTGGAGTACCTGAGATCTATCTGCTCCGTAAAATATAAGAGTGTAATCGGCATACAATAAGTGTGAAATATTAATAGTGTTCCTTGTACCAACATTAAAACCATCCAGCCAATTCAACCGCTTGGCCTTGTCCAACATATTACTTAGATCCTCCATGGCCAAGATAAAGAGGAAGGGGGAGAGGGGGTCTCCTTGTCTGAGCCCTTTCTGTGGTGAAAAAAAACCCAACTGTGCTTCTATTCACCAAAATTGAATACTTCACTGTGGTGATGCTAAACCTGATCCATGTGATCCATCTTTCACCAAAACCCATCTGTCTTAGAATGGAGAAGAGGTAGGACCAGTTGAGTTGATCAAAAGCTTTTTCAATGTCTAGCTTGCATTCTTCATCTTTGTTAAGAGTCTTTGGTATATCTTCTTTTTAGCAGTCAGCTTCGTGTGGACTTAGTTTCTTGTCTTAACTTTTTCACAGATCTCTAACTTCTAACAGCTTCACTGGGTCAATTCCACCATCAATTGGCAATTTATCTAAGTTGTCATGGCTTGATCTTAGTGACAATAAACTTAGTGGTACCATCCCAGTCTCAAAGGGCTCAACACCTGGTTTGGATTGGCTGGTTAATACCAGACACCTGTATGTAGCCTCTCTACAAGATATAACTTTTTCGTTTGTCTTTCTCTCTTCCTTAATAGTTGTGTAAAGTTTTATTCGTTGCCTGCAGTCACTTGTCGAAAAATCAGCTCTCTGGCCGTATTCAATCTCAACTCTTCAGTCCAAACATGAAGCTGAAACATGTGTGAGTATGTAGGCAGGTTAAGTGTATATTTCATTTTATCAAACCAATATATCTAGTTAACTTGATTTACTTAAGTTCGTTAAATCTTTTGAGGAAATGATTAATGATACATAAACCTTTATCACTTCCAAGCTGATCAGAAAGTTGTAAGAATGTATGTTTTTGCTTCTTTCGTTGTGTCCTTTGGCCGCTGGGAACAATGCATAAGAAACTGCCAGGACACAAGTGTTTTTTCTCTAGATCACTGATAATATTGGTTTTTCTATTGATTAGGATTTTAGATCACAACCAACTGATGGGAGAAATTCCAGAGAGTCTGGGAAGTCTGCAGAACTTAGAAATTTTGTGAGTTCCTTGTGTTGCCAGTGATATTTGCTCGTGCACTTTCTGCCCTGAAGTCTGAGTTTATTTTCATCATATTTCTTGTCATGGCTACAGGCGGCTGGACTGGAACTCCCTCAGTGGATCTGTCCCTTCCAACCTCACCAACATTACAAGTCTCAATGAGCTGTATGCACTCAACAGAGGAGACACCTAATCTATTTCTGCTTATCCATTGATGTTGATTCAGCATGCCATTAGTATTTTATTTCGATAATGTCTCTTTTTCTAATATTGTTTCAGGTATTTATCCAGTAACAATCTCAATGGATCAATTCCTGACCTTACAGGAATGAACTTGCTAACCTATGTGTAAGTTGGTGTTTAGGTTCTATATCTGTGAAATATATACTAGTTCTTGTCGAAAGTTGGTAAACTTCTGTTGTGACGGATTCTAAAGTTCTCATCAAAGAAATTCTTTATTCTATTTATGAGTGACTCCTTTTGGCAAGGATGTGATATCCTATGATGATCCATTTACTATATTATTTTATTCCTATTATCTGCAGGGGCATGAGCAACAATAGTTTCAATGCATCAGGCATCCCACAATGGTTAACAAGCCTCCCACAGTTGAAAACAATGTATTTTTCTCTCACCTCTCTCCCATGTGCACACACACAAACAGAGTTAAATCAAGTAGTACCCTGAGATTGGATAACATACAAACTTTCTGTTAAGCCAAATGTATATAGTGTGAATGAGTCACAACTACTATACCAAAAATTTATGACAGCCACCAAATAATAAATAAGACAATAAGACAACAATAAAAGAACACCAGAATTTACGAGGTTTGGCCAATATTGCCTACTTCCTCGGACACAACCAATATTTTATTTCACTCCAAAAATACAAGTGAAATAATACTAAAGAGAGAAGATACAAATGCCTTAAGAAGATAAGAAGGCAAATGAGAGGTGTATTTAAATCCTAAACATTAAGCCTCCTTTTATAAGAGAAAAATCCCAACAATTTTTCTCCCCAACCGATGTGGGAGTTTGACAACTTCAACAAATCTCTACCTTGGCAAAATTCCACATCTTCAATTTTCTCTTAATAACAAATTTTGGTTGTGCCTTCATCTTCAATTTTAGTGTTCAACAATGTTGATCAAATCCAAACAATGTTGAAACTTGACCGCAGTCACCACTTTTGTCAGCATATCAGCAGAATTCTCTGTAGTATGAATTTTCTTCACCGTGACTCCACCTTCTTCTATGATTTCTCGTACGAAATGATACCGAACATCAATGTGCTTCGTCCTTGCATGATAAACTTGGTTCTTCGCTAATTGAATAGCACTTTGACTATCACAAAAAATTGTGATACCTTTTTGTTCAACACCAAGCTCCTTTAGCAATCCTTGAAGCCAAATTGCCTCTTTCACAGCCTCTGTAATAGCCATGTACTCTGCCTCTGTTGTAGACAAAGCAACTGTTGACTGCAAAGTAGACTTCCAACTAACTGGTGCCTTTGCAAAAGTAAACACATAACCAGTAGTTGATCTTCGTTTGTCCAGATCACCCGCAAAATCTGAGTCACAGTATCCAACTACAGACTGATTGTCTTCTTGCTCAAAAACTAACCCAACATCTACAGTATTATGAATATACCGTAGAATCCACTTCA